GTAGGCTACAGGGTAGCCTACGATGTTCCATCATGTCCTTATTTAAACACTGTATTTTAATGACTTATATTTATTCAACAGTGTTAACGGCTAACTCCATTTAATATCATATATAAATATATATATATATATATATATAATATAAATCAAGAGCGCCGTTAACACTGTTAAATTATATAAGAATCATCAAAGGAAGGTAAATATAGTGAATATAGGACATGATTATACATCGTGTAGCATAGCTCTATACGAATGTAGTCCTGTAAATAAATGAATAAAGAAATTGTGTAATAAAATGCCTCTGGCGGGACTCGAACATGCGACCATAACCATTAGATCACGCGGAGGCTTCTTATGGTTAAACAGATTCAAATACCACTAGATACATTCAATTACACAATATATATATATATATATATATATATTTATTTATATATATATATAAGTATGTATATATTTATATATAATATATATATACATACATACATATATATATATACATATATATATATATATTTACAAATACATATATAACATATATGTAACGATTTCATACGTTGACATAACAGAGTCAAAATTTATTCAAGGCGAATATTTTTGCGTTTTAACGTCTAAATACGAAATACAAAATAAAATATATCGTAAGATATTAGGCATGCAATTAGTAATTGAGAAGTGATTAACTAATAAACTGTCAATAACACTTGAATAACACCTGAATAACACCTGAAAATACAAAAAATGTCGTTAAATATATGTTTGAAGATGGGAAAGTAAATACTGGTAGACTTATAGCTATAATATGGCTTGGGGGTAAGGTTAAAGAATGTTATCCTAAAGATATTAAAGATATATATAATATAGTTGTTACAGAGATATACAAACATAGACGGTGGATTGAAGGTGATGGTATGAAAAATGATCCAATTTCGGTGACGATCCGCAGTAGGGTGTGGACATGAGGACCATTTAAAGATTTTATGTTGACACTTGATTAAATTATTTATACGCAACTTGCGTTTTATAAAGCGCTTAAACAAGTTACATGTAGGTTAGATTCAAAACTACCTTGATATGCATAAACAAATTTTTGCTTTCAGTCATTGAACCGCTATGAACTGAAAAATGCACTTTCCTATGCAAGGTCGCAATGGTTATGAGTCACGATGGACCACGCTATTACCATTGCTGCCATAGTTCAATTCTCACTAATAGCGTCACAGTGAACTTGGTTTTCGTTGTTTTTTCCACTTCATTTTGTACCCACTTCATTAAAATTATATTGGTTTTTAGTGTCTTTTTTATACTTTATAGCTTTTAATGACTTTTTCTTTTGTTGCAATTTCAACTTCATTTCCATTAAAGCAATGGGGAAAAGTACTTTCTTCTGTTGTTCAAACAGACATAGCAAGTCTAGTTATTATTATTATTATTATTATTATTATTATTATTATTATTATTATTATTAACATTGTTATTATTATTGATATCTTGTAAGGCGCACGTATCCATCTCAGAGAGCTGCTTGCGGCGCCATTTCCACTTGCAAAGAGCAACAGCCTCTTCTGCATTAAATTTATTATATTTATAAAGGTTATTTAATTTCATCATAATTTCTTGTCATTTATTTATTTATTTTAGTAATACTTATATATTTATTATCAACTTAACTACAGAGGAGAACAGGCAAAACAAGATATTAGAGGGGCAACCACAAATCACCAATCTGTCGTGTTCCCGAACCTCTACCTAGGTGGCTTCTCGAACGAAGAAACTTTTGCCCTGCCCAAGACGAAAGGGTGCCGAGAGGCGGCAATCGGGATAGTGGCCTTCTAGAGATAGATGCAGGCCTGAGACGAATAAGAGTGATAATTGTTGTCATATAAATCAAAATAAAAAAAGGAAAAGAAAAACTTTTAGTTTTGACTCGAACTCGCTGAGAGACAAAATGCAACGGATGTCTTGAAGAAATTCATACCTGATTTTTTCCGCTGCGGTTTGTAAAGACCTCAATTCCCAAAGGTTATTTGTCCGCTGTTCGAAAAGCAGCGAAAGATCAGCTTAGCGTAATTGTTTGTATGGAGTCACAAGCCTTTTGTAATGAAGCTTGGAACATCGTGCAAAGCTTTGAAGACTATAGCAAACCCTAGCTTGATTCGCAGTTTCACAGGTAGCAAGTTCAGTTCCTTTAGGACAGGTATTTTATCGAACGTGCAGCATTGTTTTGGACACGTATTTTGCCGATAAGTGACAAATTTAAACCATACAATACAGAATTACAATTATCAGGACTGTCACAACAGAATTTCAGCAATGTGAGTGTTTACATTTTTCCTAATGCGGTTAATGTTATGGAGTGAAAGAGAGCTAATCTGCACACAGCATTCACATGATGAACCAAAGAGAGATTGCTGTCGAAAATGATTCCAAGGTATCTAATTCTGAGACGGTTTGATTATTGTTTTGCTTATTCTGCTGCGATGATTCCCTGTTTTGAATAAGAAGTAATTTGCTTCGAATCAGACAAAGATTTCATCTAGACAGTTTTGCATTTTAGATAAGGCCCCTTAAAAAAAATTATTAGTTTATCACCCTCGCACGCATCACTTTCAGGGAAATCCCGATTTTTTTTTTTTTTTTTTTTTTCCCCCGTCATTTTTCACTTGAAAATGCTAAAGATTACTTCACAGGCGATCTTTCTCATGTTGCGCATGTGCACTAAGATAGCTTTTCTACTCTGGCACGATCTTTTGTGTGTGAGATGAATGACCCCGAAACTTTTTTATTATGCCTCTAGGCCTAATTGTAATGCAAATAAAGAGGGGATTACATGTTTTGAAGGGCTGGTTCGCAAAAAATATCCGTTATAATGAATTGTTTGATGCTTTCAAATCGGGCGAGATTGGAGAAGGAGAAAACATAGAAGATTTTACGACGGTACGTATTGCTAGCTGTGCTTGTCATGATTCACCCTTGTCAGGCAGGCCTAACTAGTAGGTCTAGGCTAGTGTATTTGAATGGGTTGGTGGCAGTGCGGCGGGCGGTCTAGCTAGGCCACGTCTACCAAGCCTGGCCTGGAAACGGTCGCACGGGCCTACACATGTTAAGAAAATCAGTTTGGT